AAATATAATCTCTCTCTCTCCCTCTGTTTTTGTTTAAATATCAGTAAAAATGTAAAAGTTACTCTGAGTTTATAATTAGTTACAATACTATAGGTGGCCACCTTTTTAGCTGAGATTCCCAGTATATTCGAAACAAAGAGCTTAACAAAATATTTGTATATTTCTATATTGGAAACAATGAAATATAGAAATATAGAAATATGATACTTTGTTAAGTCCACGTTTAAATATCAGCAGCAATGTAAAAGTTACTTCGAGTCTATAATTATACACTGTAAGTTCTCCCAGCTGTGTACCTTACTTTATAAAAATCTGAATTAGCTTTCGCCTTTTTTATTTGAAGTGCCTTCTGTTCAGAACTCGGTCTACTATTACGTCAGAAAGGAAACATTGATATCATTGAATCATTGAGATTGGGCATTGTCCAAAAATGGTTGAGAGAGACAGAATTAAACTGTAGCAGTGAGGGATGAATGAGGGTTAACAACCTCCCTTGTCACGCCATCGAACCAAAAAAATTCATAAAATTAAAGTATCTTATATAATCAAATTAAAACTAAACGATTCTTCCGTTGTTCAGATCCTAATAAAATTAGGAAGGATCCTAATAAATTAGCTTAAAAATTCAGTTTCAAATCTGAGAGTGATAATTCCGTCACCCACGTACGAGTGACACGGCAGTCAGGGTGTTAAAAGGGAACTTAACAGTTTTGCAAATTAATTGAATTAGCAACTGATAAGTGCAACATTATTCCGTTTACACGTTTTGCTGTTATTTCATAGACCTGCCCAAAACACTTATTTTCTATAACCAAAGAAAAAAAAGAAATACACGGAAAAACTCGTAGCAACGGAAACTACTATTCCTTCCTCGAGTATTCATGTTGGATTACGACTCTACGACTACGTTCATTCTAACTTATGCATGATCGCAGTCGACATCAATGCCGACTACGGTATGATAAAATGTCTGGAACAGCGAAGTGGGATAATGATCTCATTATCAAGTTAATGGAAGTGCGCGGACTACGCGAATGTTTGCAATCTCTGCCAGCTTTCCGCATAATAGAATCAAAAAGCGTTGAAGCGGACGTGTTAGATCGGCAATTGAAAAACACAGTTGAAAAAGTGTTGTTGAGAAGTTTCGAAAGTGTTGTCCATTCCAATTAGACAGTACAGCCATCGAATCTTCATACATTCACGAAGTGTACGCTGTCCGTTTCTTTCGTTTTTATTACTAACAACCAGACTGCAGATATTCTCTGCGTTTATGGCGAAAATGTTGTTACACAATTTTCAATTCAATTGGAATGACTGAAAGAAGGAAATGCATCTTTATTTGTAACTTCTGTTCCGTATCATTGATGCGAACAATTTTTATTTTGACGTAAAGATTGCAGTCCATTATTAACGATAGATAACCGTACGTGTTAGAAAGAAATCTTCTTCGATCATTGTTACCAGCTTGGAATCAGCTCGCTTGTCTGTGAGCACCTTGTTGCCAGCGATAAATATTACCTTGAAACCGAAGTAATCTAGAAATATCTTTCACACACACACAGCATGGGCATATCTTAATACTCTATTTATCGGATGCCTATTAGCACGCTTTTCAATGACTGAAATGTGCCTAACGAGAAGCTCAATATTTTGCTTTTGAATAATAATTCAACGGTGTAAAGTAATAATTTAATAATATAAAATAATAATTCAATAGTATAAAATAATAATTTAATAATAATTGTTACATTATATTAATTCAAACGATATATTCGATCATGGATGAAATCATTGCTGCCTTTGGACAATCTTTCAAAAACTTTTCAACTTTTTTATCGAAATTTCTAAAGCGGATTTTCAATGTTCTAAGGCCTGGTAGAAAGCTATTGGTAAATAACGTGTTAAGAATAAAGAACATGATCGCTTACAATTGTCAACAAAAATAACTGTTCATAATCAACCGACAAAATGAGATATTTGCACTATTTTTGTTTACTAATTTTCAACAAAGCAACTTGTTTATCAATAAAGAATATATTAAGTTGAAAATGAAATAAATATTCGATTGATGTAGACTACGGTATTCGTTTCACAATTATTATTATTCTTTGCATTAACTGGAAATTATTGGGATAATTTCCAATTTAGAAAAATTCATTCCGTTTTGAAATGCGTTCAAATGCACAAGTACTTTCAGAGGGTTGTTTCCGCCACGTACGTCGCACTTTCTGCCATTTGCCCGCGAACGAACGAGTCGTTCGCTCATTTCGCGAGGCCTGTGTTCCACGATCGCATTTGGTTCTCGTCGGTGCTGCATGAAATACTATGTACGTATATGCGCATTATATTAATCAAGTCGTAGCCGAGAAAAGGAGAACAATAAATGCGGTCGAGGCCGATGGCGACGATAACCGCAGGCGACGTCGATTTTTCCTGCCGGCCGAGGAGGAAAGGTAACGAGAATAACCATACTCGGCCCTGAGATTCAACAAGTTAGGTCAACCCTCGATATGGACGTGGATCATAGAGCTCCACGGTATTGTTCGGACGGCCAGCAGGATCGATATCGGCTGGGCGAGGTCGACCCGATGAATTATTACCGTGCAGATTATTACAGTTTGCAACGCCGCAACTCGTCGATGTCTCTGCTTCTTTACAATCTTTCTTTCGCCCAAGCGTTCGCCATTTCCTATCCCCGTGCCGTTTGCGAAAAACCAAACCGACGAATCATCGGGTCGTGTTGCACACACGAAACGATGGAACCGTCGTGTTTCCGTTCATCCAACTTTCGAGCGATGCGCACATGCAAAATTTCCAAGTTATCCTCAATTTGAAAACAATATCTCAGTGACTCACGAAAAGTATTGTTCTTAATACTATAATATTGCATTCGGATAAGATAAATATGTCCGAAGCGAGCTGTCAGAAATTGATTGGTCGACACACTGTTTCGTAGCAAGAACATTCGCATGTGAACTTTGATTGTTATTGTATTTAGTTTGGCAATTATTTCACTTTTCTGTGAGATGCGTTTTTAATATTTTTTATTTAAAAATTGCCTGTATTGGAGTTCCGTGATGAAATGTTATATATTATATAATATAAAATTATATTATATATATAATTTGTAGCAATGTAAAATAGTTCATATCATAGCCCAAGTCTAATAGTTTGCGCGTACCCGTAATTTAAGATATGCATAATTTCTTGGGTATGTGTAGTTTGCTGGATTAGACTGCACGATACTGCACAAAACATGCAATTAGCATGAATGTCATAATTGTTGATTATCACGAATAGTTCGTACCGATTAATAACGTAAACCTACTAGCTCGTCAGAACTGAAACCCGAATGTTTAACCCCTCCCCTCCATATTGATCTTGATACCTATGTATAAACTTAATACGACTGCAAAGAGTTAAATGTGGTACATATGGTTTTAACTGGAGAAAAATATCGGTAGGATTCGGTGGGAGCCTTAATTTTAAATAAAAATGATTAATAATTTGAATTTATTTATTTTTATTATTAATAATTAATAATTTGCGTTCCTATCTCTATTTTTCAACTTAAAATAAAGTATTAACTCTGCAGCGAATAATATCCATATGATAAAACTCTTAAAAATTCAAAAATTATACACAGAAGTAATAAAAAAAATGGTATAGTGTTTTCTCTTAAATAGCATATATTGCAGCTGTTGTTTTAATGTTATATTACAATCTACGTATTTCAATATTGCCGTAAAAAGCTTTCAAAATAAAGTTTCTATAGAGAACAAATTGTTCCCACGTTTTCATGCATCGTTCGCGATTTAATATAAACACCTTTTTAAATTAATGTTATTCCAAGCTTTTTAAGGCCGGCGTTGTTTTTTCAAGGCGGTATCATTTTTCTTGCATATTATCTTACGGCGGGTATTAAAATGAGTTCAAGAATGTCCGAGTTATGACTTTGAAGCGGCCTTGAACGTTAACAAAGTGATTGCATTCTAGTATAACGTTATAATATTTCCAATGCTATATAAAATGATTGTTCTTGATGTGAAAGTA